TTTTTTTTTTTTTTTTTTTTTTTTTTGAGACTGTCCTGGAACTTGATTTGTAGACCTGGCTGGACTTGAACTCACTGCTTCTGCCTCTCATGTACTGGGATTAAAGGTGTGCGCCACCACCACTGTGTTTTATTTATTGTGCACGTAGAGTGGCCACATATGTCCCGCACTAAACATGTAGAGGTCAGAGGACAACTTGAGGGGGTCATTTTTCTCCTCCCACCAAGTGGGTTTCAAGGAAAATGAGGTTATCAGGCATGGTGGCAAGTGGCTTTACTGGCAGAGCCTTTACTGTCCACCCCTGACCCCTGTCCTTTTAGCATTAGAAATTGAACTTAGGACTTCAGACATTCCAGGCAAGCACTCTACCACTAAGGTACAACATCAGCCCTTTTTTATTTAAAGACAGTGTCTTAACTAAGTTGTCTAGGCTGGCCTTGAACTCTCAAATACTCTGGCTGCAGAACTCCTTTGAGTAAAGCTGGATTACAAAGACTGTTTAATGCAGACACTTGGCTGTGACGTGCATGTGTGTACGAGTGCAAGTCTTTTTTTTTTTTTTTCTTTTTTTGTCTTCCTATATAGTCCTGGCGGTCCTGAAATTCACCATGTAAATAGAGCAGCCTTCAAGCTCACAGAGGTTGCCTGCCTCTGCTCCTGATTATTCCGATTAAATGCTACACCACCATGCCCAGCTGGTTGTGAATTTGTAATTGAAACTTTTTGAAAGAAATGCCTTCACATTGGGTCTAAAAGCTTATCTAGGTACCTTTAGCCAGGCAGTGGTGGCATATGCCTTTAATCCTACCACCCAGGAGGCAGAGGCAGGCAGATCTCTGAGTTCAAGGCCAGCCTGCTCTACAAAGTGAGTTCCAGGACAGCCAGGGCTACACAGAGGAAACCCTGCCTGCAAGCAAGCAAGCAACAGAGAAACTCTGTCTCAAAAAACAAACAGAACAAAACAAAACAATCTACCCTTGATTGAGCATGGTCCTTGGGCTGGTCTGACCCCTCTCTGAGGTTAGGCTATACCTTCCCTCCCTTCACTGGGAATAACTAGAATAGGAATTCTCCTTGTGTTTTTTGGGAGCTACATCCCATAGTATTTAATGGCTGACGATTATTTGCATGGTTTAAGACCATGGCTTGGTCTAGCTTGGAGGCTGGACCTATCTGCAAGTCCAGTCAGTGAGGATGAGGTCCCAGCATTCTGGGTTTAGCTTGGGAAGAACCAACCATAGCCACCCTCTACTAACTGTCTTCCCTTCTTCTACAGCATGCCCAAGGACTTGTCTGAGGCCTTGAAGGAGGCCACCAAGGAGGTGCATATCCAGGCAGAGAATGCTGAGTTTATGAGGAACTTTCAGAAGGGCCAGGTGACCAGGGAAGGCTTTAAGGTATGTGCATGTATATAGGATTAAGGTCTCTTTATTTCAGAAGACAGCAGGGTGAAACACAGGCCAGAGCTAGGTTATAGAACCCAGCCAGCGCGGCCAGAACAAAAGAGTCCCGCGTCCCCACATGCAGCCCCTTAAGAAGCTCCTTTACGTCACCCCGGCTTTCCTTCACCACGCCCCTCTGGGCGAGTCCCCAGGTCCACCTGGTACCTGCCCCAGGACTATTGGGTGGGGCTAGGGTGACTCCCTACACATGTAGGTTGGCCAGAGCACTGGGAGAGGATAAAGCACACATGCTCAGGGCTCAAGCCAGTAATTTAATGGGAGGTTGGAGCTAGGGATGATGAAGACTTGTCCAAGGAAGTCATCCTACTAATTTTGACACTAGCTCAGAGAAGAGAGGAGAGGGTCACACAACAAGTTCTTGGCCTGCTATGTGATGCTGACGGGAGCCTGGGCAGCAGGATGGTTAAGTGAACACTTATTCTATGTTGTCTCAATGTTGAGGAGTAGATAAGAGGAAATCCCAGAGAGGTTAAGAGGCTATACAGTCAGCGTTAGGTGGAAAAGACCAAAACCAAACAAAGATGACCTAATTTCAGAGCATGTACTCTTGACCTGGTTAATTAGGGCATTGCACGGGCTGGATAGGTTCTCTCCCACTGACCTACAATCCTGGTTCTTGGATTATTGGACAGTCTCCCTACATAGTTCAGACACTCTGAATGCTCCTGAGTCAGTCTCCTGGGTATTTGGACCACAGGCATGTACCACTATACCTAGATTTTTTAACTCAACTCCAATTTGTTTCTGAAGGCAAGGGGAAGTTTTCATTAGCCCTCCAGTATCCTGTTCTCACAGTGAGGTTGTCTGTCCCATTTAATCTCCTGAACTCATCTGAGAAATGGGGTTTTGACCGCAGGGACATAATAGGCTCTGATTTTGCTGTTTTCTGGCACAGTTGTAAACTGATGTCAGTAGGAAACACCAGATACAGCTGGGTGGTGGTGGTGCACAACCTTAATCCCAACACTCAGGAGGCAGAGACAGGCAGATGTCTGAGTTCAAGACTATCCTGGTCTATCTATAGAAGAGACTAGGACAGTCAGGGCTACACAGAGGAACTGTGTGTCAAAAAATCAAAAAGAGAAGAAAAAGAAAATATGAGACACACAATAGAGAACACTGGACTAGGTGGAGAGGGAGAGGACTGTGGGGTGGTAAGGTCAGGAAGCCTTGAAGGGGTCTTCTAGGGACCTGAGAGACTGGTTCTGTTTTTCAGCTGGTGATGGCCTCCTTGTACCACATCTACTCGGCTTTGGAGGAGGAGATAGAACGCAATAAGCAGAACCCAGTCTATGCCCCGCTCTACTTCCCTGAGGAACTGCACCGAAAGGCTGCCCTGGAGCAGGACATGGCCTTCTGGTATGGTCCCCACTGGCAGAAGATCATCCCTTACACACCGGCCACACAGCACTATGTGAGCCACCTCCATGAGGTGGGGCTCACTCATCCTGAGCTGCTGGTGGCCCACACGTACACCCGTTACCTGGGTGACCTCTCAGGGGGCCAGGTGCTGAAGAAGATTGCACAGAAGGCCCTGGGTCTGCCCAGCTCTGGTGAGGGCCTGGCCTTTTTCACCTTCCCCAACATCGACAACCCCACCAAGTTCAAACAGCTCTATCGTGCTCGAATGAACACTCTGGAGATGACACCTGAGGTCAAGCACAGGGTGACAGAGGAGGCTAAGACTGCATTCCTGCTCAACATTGAGGTGAGCCCCACTGTTCCTTCAAGCCACATTCCTGTTATTGGAGGGAGAGTCCCAGGGTCACAGTTAAGTGCAAGAACTTAGGACTAGGGAGCTGTTTTGCTGCTTACTAGCTAGGTAATTGTGGACAAATCTCTTCATCTCCCTTTTCCTCGGTTTTTCTATTTGTAAAATAGAGATAATGGCTGGGTGGTGGTGGTGCACACCTATAATCCCAGCACTCGGGAGGCAGAGGCAGGCAGATCTCTGTGAGTTCGAGACCAGCCTGTTCTACAAGAGCAAATTCCAGTACAGTCTCCAAAGCCATAGAGAAACCCTGTCTCAAAAAACCAAAAAGAAAAAAAAAAAATAGAGATAATGATAGCATCCATCTTCAAGGTGTGAGGGGCAAGAAAGTTGATGCATTTCAGACCATGTGGAAGGGCTATTATAGGGTAAGCTCAGTGATGTCATTGCGCTCGTGTTGTGGGACATGACCATCATGGAGACTGCATCCTGTGACAGTGGCATGACTGTAAGGGTACTTGTGCATTTGTGCATAGACAGGTTGGCATTGTAAGGTTTTCAGAGTCTGAAATGATTCAGGTGGCATTTGTTTTTGGAGATCTTTCTACACACCACAGAGGTATCTCATTTCTTTCTGCAAATGCCTCAATACAAGGAAAAGGAAAATGTGGGTCTTGTAGTGATTTATTTTATTTTTTATGTGCATTGATGTTTTGCCTGCATGTATGCATGTTTGAAGGTGTCAGATCCTCTGGAGCTGGAGTTACAGACAGTTGTGAGTTGCCAAGTGGATGCTGGGAACTGAACTCGGGTCCTTTGGAAGAACAACTGGTGGTCTTAACCTCTGAAACAGCTCTCTAGCTCCTAGGAAAGTTGGTTTTGAGCAAGACGCTGAAAGATGAGCAGGATGGGTATAGTGTCCTGTTGATGGGATGCTATGGTGGTCAGGGTTCCAATTCATGACCTCCTGACTCCCCACTCTCCAGCCTGGGATCCCTTAAAAGGTTAACCAGGCAAGCACCTGTTAGAGAATTACCATTTCAAATCTCTAAATTCAGCCACATCTAGACTATCTGTTTCTTTTTGAGAATATGAAGCTGGGTGGTGGTGGCACATACTTTAATCCCTGCACTCTTTGAGGAGGAGAAACAGGGGGATCTCTGAGTTCAAGGCCAGCCTGGTCTACAGACAGCCAGGTTCCAGGACAGCCAGGGCTACACAGAGGAAACCCTGCCTGCAAGCAAGCAAACAAACAAAAAGACTCAGCCCAGCAGAGAGCTGGGTCTTGATCCTGACCCCTAGTTAATCTCAAGCAAGCCCTACTCCAGGAGCTGTGGTTTTCTCACCTGAAGAACAGTCTAGGGACCTGTATGGCACACGATTTAGCAAGGATGAGCTCACCAATGTCCAGAAGAGACAGCAGGTTCTATGTTGCACGGCCACCACACATTCAAGTGTTTCAGAGGAGGCGAAATGGCGCCTCCTTGTGGGCATACACATAAAATCCTGAACTCCAGATTCAGGACAGCTATTACTTACTGGTGGGGACCAGGTGGAGGTACAGATAGCATTGGGAAGGCACATGCAGGGGAACTAACCAAACCCATCATATCTCATGAGGTAGGTTAAAAATGCATGGGTGTGTGATAGTTTTCTTTTTCTTTCTTTTTTTTTTTTCGAGACAGGGTTTCTCTGTTTAGCTTTGGAGCCTATCCTGGCACTCGCTCTGGAGACCAGGCTGGCCTTGAACTCACAGAGATCCGCCTGCCTCTGCCTCCCTAGTGCTGGGACTAAAGGTGTGTGCCACCAATGCCTGGCTTGTTTTTGTTTTTGTTTTTTTTTTTTTCTTGGGGGGAGATCATTTTCTTAAGTTGTGTCGTTTCTACAATATTTCATAGCATGCTTCCAGCTCTGCCTTCAGCTGGGGCCACCACTGAGTCAAATTAACATGGCAGTATGTCTTATCTTCTAGCTGTTTGAGGAGCTCCAGGAGCTGCTGACACAGGACCACAAGGATCAGAGCCCCTCACAGATGGAGGGCCCTCGCCAGCGGCCTGGTAGCCTGGTGCAAGGTAAAGGTGCCCTCTTGCTTCTGGCTTTTCTTGGCAGGAACATGGCCCAGCTACTGTCTCTGTGATTTCTTTATTCTCCTCTTTTCTGAATGTTTTAAATTAGAAATAGTGTACAGACAAAAGGGCCCAGGGTGACTGGGTGAGCTGTAAGGCCTTCTACCTCAGTTTCCCCACATTGGGAAATCAGATGGTTGGGCTATAGTTGCATTGGCTGAAGTGTACAGAAATCCCTTAGAAGTCACTGGTGCAGAGATCCTTTATTTAGGACAGTCCCCCCAAGCATTTTCTGAGGCAGTCAGACTAGGTTACCCAGGCTGGCCTCAAACCCTAGGATCAAACAATCTTCTTGTCTCAACCTTTTACAAATAGGCAGGATTGTGTTTCTTTTCTTTTTTTTTTTTTTTTTTGGTTTTTCGAGACAGGGTTTCTCTGTGTAGCTTTGGAGCCTATCCTGGTACTCCCTCTGTAGACCAGGCTAGCCTCGAACTCACAGAGACCCGCCTGCCTCTGCCTCCCAAATGCTGGGATTAAACACGTGCCTTCCCTGAGCCTGTCACTTCTGGGACAGTGTGGCACAGGGAGTGGGTGATGAGAGTATGGGCGGCAGGACAGGTTATGTGAAGCTGTCTTGCTCAATGCCATCCTAACCCACTTTATGCCTAAGGCTCTCCCAACTGGGAGAGGTAATAATGGCCCTGTTACTAGTATTGTTTCTAGTGGGCTGAAATGTGGCCAGTTGATGGAGTTAGCTACTTGGTTGAGTCAGGGGACTTTCCTTGATAGAAATGACTGGGCATGAAGGATGAACAGCTTGAGAATAAGTGAGCTCCTAGCTTTGAAGATGGACACTCTATGCTTTAGCAGAATTGTGGTCTTGGCCTGGAACTGTCCTGGAGACAGACACACTAAGTATCCTTTTACTCTGTGTACTTTAATGTCATATAGCCAGGGCTGCATGTGTTTGACCTTTTCTATCTTTCTCTTTCAGACTCTACACCTGCAGAGACATCCAGAGGGAAGCCCCAGATCAGCACTAGCTCATCCCAGGCACCACTCCTCCGATGGGTCCTGACTCTTAGCTTTCTGATGGCAACAGTGGCAGTGGGAATTTATGCCATGTAAAGCAAATGTGCTAGCCCCCGGGGGCTGTGAACTCTATCCATGAAGGGCCTTCTCTTCTGTAGGAGAGAATCTTGCCTGGCTGTCTTCTCTTGGGGCTCTAAGAAACTTTTGAGGCTCCTAGACCCCTCCCTGTGCCCTCCTCTCTCTCTGCAATGGAGGGAGATGCTTGACACATTTTTCCCTCACCAAAAGCATATCCAGCCAGTGACCTGAACTTTGAAACCAGCAGCCCCAACTCCTGTAGAGCCCCAAAACCATGGCCTGGCCAGGAGGTGGTGGCACATGCCTTTAATCCCAGCACTTGGGAGGCAGAGGCAGGTGGATCTCTGTGAGTTTGAGGCTAACCTGGTCTATAGAGCGAGTGCCAGGATATGCTCCAAAGCTACACAGAGAAACCCTGTCTCAAAACCAAAAAAGAAAAAGAAAAAAACAAAACATGGCCTGAAGTAGCAGCTGTTCTGAGCCCAGTGCCCTTTGTTGTTGGCATCCGTGTTAACTGGCCGTGACTGTTTTCCTCTGGTGTCATGGCCATGTTGATATCAGTGTGCAAAGATGTTGGGTCTTGTGTTTCTTTTTATTATTTCCCGCATCTCACCTGAATGGTGGTATTTTGTTGTGTATGTGTGTGTGTGTTTCTAACAAAGTTGGGCTGTCTTTTGAGGGGTGGGTGGGAAAGAGGTATTTAATAGTTGTAACCTTGGTCTCCAACTTTTGTGTGAAATAATAAATAACATTATCTAACAGTCAATAGAAGTATCTTTTTATTTTATTTATTATGTATACAACATTCTGCTTCCATGTATATCTGCACACCAGAAGAGGGCACCAGGTCTCATAACGGATGGTTGTGAGCCACCATGTGGTTGCTGGGAATTGAACTCAGGACCTCTGGAACAGCAGTCAGTGCTCTTAACCTCTGAGCCATCTCTCCAGCCCCACTAGAAGTATCTTAATGTCTCTGTTGTCCATGAAACGGGCCCTACTCTTTTGTCTCTTCAGTGCTTGGCCAGGGGGCAGGTGGTGGTGGCATTGGTAGCTGCAATCTTGGACTGTGCTTGACAATGGAAGTGAGCTTTAAGCAGTTGGACAGATCTTATTGACTGTGGGTGTGGGGGTATGTGTTTGTGTGTGTGCAGATGCAGGTGTGCATGTGGAGGACAGAAGTCAATCTCAGGTGTTTTTAAGGAACCATCCACCTTGGTTTTTATTTAGAAAGGATCTCACTGGTTGTCCTGGAACTTGTTATGTTATGTAGACCAGCTGGCTTTGAACTCAACGAGATCATCCTACTTCTGCCTCTCAAGTGCTGGGATTAAAGGCATGTGCCACCATGCCTGGCCAGTCCACCTTCTATTTAGAGACAGTGTCTCATACGGCCTCTGGCTCACTGATTCAGTTAGAATGGCTGGCTAGTCAGCAAGTTCTAGGGATCCTCCTGTCCCTGCCTCCCCAGTGCTAGGATTACAAGCACACACACACACACACACACACACACACACACACTATGCCTGACTGGCCTATCACTTCACTGCCTCCCCAGTGTTAGGATTACAAACACACACACACACACACACATACACACACTGCCTGACTGGCCTTTTGCTTCAGCCCGAATACTCAGCATTTACTGAGGCTGAAATGGGCAGATGTTGGGGTAAAGTTGTTATGCTCTGAATAATGGTACTTATCGAGAGAGGCGAATACCTGGGTTCAATTATTCACTTTTGTGCGTGTGTGTAATGTACTCAGTGTGAGACAGTCCTTCCACTTTTATGTATGTAACAGAGATTGAGTTCAGGCTTGGGCAGCAAGCATTTTACCTGCTGAACCATCTACTCTACTTTGGAGTTGGTCACTTAACCTCTCAGATCCACCACCTGTGACCTCACCCTTGTGTCTTGAGAAACATGTTAAATCCAAAGTCCTTCCATCACCACAGCTCTCTTATGCAGAGGGAAGCCAGTGTCTTCTGATTCTTGTGCTGTGGGAGTCATCTGCCATGCTTGTATAAATCCTCACAGCAAACCTGCCCAATGTCAGGAAGGATTTCAACCCAGGTGATAAAAGCCATGCAAACACTAAACATACAGTTCCCACTATGGGAAAGTGAAACTGTTCACTGGAGGCAGAGCAGGGGACAAGATACCTACTTTGTACCACCAGTACCAGACGTCTGGGGAGTTGGCAGATCTTTGTACCTTGTATTGGCTCTATTACCAATCTTGGGCACATTGCTTCGAATCTCATTTTACTCATGGGAAAAATGAGCAATACACCTGCCTTCTTCTGCTGATGATGGAAATACAGAGATGCAGAAACTCCAGAACGCCATGGAGGTACTTAGTCACAGAGCTCAGAGCTTTATGCCAAGAGGTAGGATACCGAGGTCACCATACAAGAAAGATATCCAGGAGGATTCAGATATGCATACAACCAGGTCCAGAAGCCATTCTATATGAAATTAAGGCTAGAGATATAGATATATGCAAAGCATAAACATCAGATAGCAATGGGCTCAGTTTCCTCATCTGTGAATGTATTCATTGTGATAAAATAAGAAAAGTTGAAGGGGAGACTCTGAAGAGATGGCTCAGCACTTAAAAACACTGCCTGCTCCTACAAAGGGCCCTAGTTTGATCCCCAGCACCCACATGGTGGCTCACAACAGTTTGTAACTCTAGTTCTAGAGGATCCAACACCCTCTTCTGTCCTTCTTGGGTACCAGGCACACATGTAGTGTAAGACTCCCGGAAGCTCAGGCCTCCAGGATCTCAGCCCAGGACCTCGGCCACCCCAATCACCATTCGGAGGCAGAAACTTGATGCAAACTGCATGAGGCTTTATTATAGTTGTTTAACGAGCTAACCCCATAGGCCCTCCCAGAGTGGTTGCTATGCTCTGTGGGTCATTGCTGTGTACTTGTCCGTAAAGCACACCCAGAGCCGTAAATCCTGGTGTCCTTCCCAGGAGGCAGGCGTCTTACCTTAAGACAAGGTCAGGCAAGCAGGTGTTCGGCTGTTATGGCTGCCGAAATGGGGAGCTGGTCCCTTCGGTAGTGCACTGATACATACGCAAACAAAATATCCGTACATATAAAGTTAAATAAAACAAAAGGCTGGGGATGTAGCTCAGTGGTAGAACGCTTACCTAGTGGGATACCCTGGGTTCACACATAGTACCTGAAGGGTAGGGAAGTAAAGGGAAGGAAGAGGGAACAAAGAGAAACTATTTTTTGAATTCCACAAAAGAATAGTTAAGTACTTTCTATCAGTTGTCAAGAGATGAACAAAACCAGAGACTAGTTAAAACTGGACAGACTTCAAAGAGTAATTTGTAACAAGAAAAAAAATCCAGCATAAATTGAGCTATCCCTCCCCATTTCTTTTCAGTGCTGGGAATCAAATCTAGAGCTTTGTTCACATTAGGCAAGGCTCTACCACTGAGCTACAACCTCAGCTTCTACTTGTGCAATGGGGAATGAATATTTTACTTTCCAGTGCATGTGGTGCTGGAGACCAGATCTAGGACCTTCCACATACCAATTCAGTGCAATTTTACTAAGCCACAACCCCAGTCTTCTCTGGGCCCTTTAATGGTAGGTTGATGGACTAGAAAGGGATTAAGGATGAATAGAGTTAAGGCAGTGAGAATTACAAAGGGTTAGTCAATGAAGACATCTTGAGACCAGCTGTGCCTCCCAGCAGGCAAAGATCAAAGTCCAGATTCTATCTTCTCATGTAGACTGGGCAACAGGTCCTATCCTAGGGGACTGGCTGGAGCAAACAGTGACAATAATTTTGTCACTTTCTGTTTTCTCTGGCTAGAGATATGGCCTTGAGCCATTCCAAATATCAATGGTTATTCAAGTCTTTATAGATAGAGCTGAGGCAGGAATAGGCAGGGAAACAGTCCAGCCACCTTCACCTGTCTGAATATGGCTCACATTTCTTGCAGACTGGTCAAGAATTTCAACATAGGGGGCTGGAGAGATTATGGCTCAGTTCCCTCCCAGTGCCCACACAGTGGCTCACGAAACATACATTACAGGGGCTCTCAGATCTCCTGATGCACAAACAATCATGCAGGCAAAATTCTATTATATAGATAAAACAAATATCTTAAACTTAAAAAACCAAACAAACAGTTGGGTGGTGGTGGTGCACTCCTTTAATCCCAGCACTCAGGAAGCAGAGGCAGGTGGATCTCTGTGAGTTGGAGACCAGGCTGGTCTACAGAGCTAGTTCCAAGACAGCCAAGGATACACAGAGAAACCCTGTCTCGAGAAACAAAAAAGCAAAACAAACAAGAGAGAAAATCTTTGGTAAGGAAATGAGTAGACCAGCACATCCCACTTTAGCGTTCACTTCTATAAGCAGCTGAACTCCAAAGCCCCCAAGTTGCCTGTCTAACAGATTTGAAGCACTTATATAGGCATGTGCCTATCCTTAAGTGCATCTATCCATTTCTTTTAAGATTTATTTATTTATATTATTACTTTTGGTTTTTCAAGACAGGGTTTCTCTGTGTAGTTCTGGCTGTACTGGAACTCACTCTTTAGACCAGGCTGGCTTGGAATTCACAGAGATCCACCTGCCTCTGCCTCCTGGGTGCTGGGATTAGAGGTGTGTGCTGCCACCACCTGCCAATTTATTAATTTTTAACAATTTATTTATTTATTTTGGTTTTTCGAGGCAGGGTTTCTCTGTGTAGCTTTGGAGCCTATCCTGGCCCTCGCTCTGGAGACCAGGCTGGTCTCGCACTCACAGAGATCCGCCTGCTTCTGCCTCCTGAGTGCTGGGATTAAAGGCATGTGCCACCACTGCCCAGCGAGGATATATTTATATTTTATGTGTATGACTGTTTTGCCCGCATCTACATGTTTACTACATGTATACCTGGTACCTGTAGAAGCCAGAAGAGAGCATCAGATCTCCTGAAACTAGAGTTACAGATGGTTGTGACCACCACACGTGCTCGAACTGAACCTGGATTCTATGCAAGAGCAGTCAGGGGTTTTAGTTGCTGAGCCATCTCTCCAGGACTGTCTCTTTCTTTGCTTTCTTTCTTTCTTTCTTTCTTTCTTTCTTTCTTTCTTTCTTTCTTTCTTTTTTTCTTTCTTGTTTTTCAGAGACAGGGTTTCTCTGTGTAGCTTTGGAGGCTGTCCTGGCACTCGCTCTTGAACTCACAGAGATCTGCCTGCCTCTGCCTCCCGAGTGCTGGAATTAAAGGCGTGCGCCAACAATGCCCGGTGGACTGTCTGTTTTTTGACCAGTGACTGACTGTTCAACACTCCAACTCTTTCTAAAACACTTTTCTGTGCAGTAAGTCAAGTATCCCATCTGAGGGAGGCCCCAGCCAACCCTGTGGAATTACACCCCTGCTGTTGGTGACAACTGTTGAGAACACACTTAGGGCCTAGATTTTGGTCAAAAAGAGAATAAAGCAACTTAAAATAGAATGTGCCAAATCTCTTGATTTACTTGGTATTTTTTTTTTAAGTTTATTTATTTATTTATTTATTTATTTATTTATTTATTTATTATGTATACAGTCTTCTG